AGCGCGCGCACTTAACCGCTAAGCCACGGGGCCGGCCCTAAATTGCTGTTCTAAAATGAATATTATACTAACCATTATTTGTAGGTTCTTTTGATTTTGCCTTGGCATACCTACCCAACTCTATGTCTTGTGATGACTCAGTTTCTTCTGAGGAGGGAATGAGATCCTAACCCTTGCTCTCTCATATTTAAAGGTCTTTTGGGGATGATCAGAGGAGCTCCTATAAAGGTCCTGGGTTGTACAGGACTTGAGATAAAATTACCTTGAAAAGATGTGACCTGGGACACACAAGGGCCTCGTAGATCTGGGAGAAGCGTTGGCCTCAGTAGGATATGGCTGAGGGACCGATGCTCCTCTGGACTCAGCTTTCTTGGCAGTGTGGGAAACAGTGGTTGAGCATGAGTTTGAGATAAAAAGAGTGTAAACTTTGAGCCCCATGTGGGGCATCACAGTGGCCCGGGTGAGAACTAGTAAACGAGGACGTCCAGCAGTGGTGGGCAAGTGAAGTTTGCGGAACCAGTCAGGACAGTCTAAGAAAGGTACGCACGACTGTGTGTAGGCTTCTAGCTGAGGCTGCACTCGCTTCTTCCTGCTCTTGACCCTTTCTCACTCATTCATGGTGGCTCTTTCTACGCAGGACTGAAAAGCACTGCCTTTTTGACATCCCGAGGGTCTTCTGGGTATACAAAAGATTGCTACTCCATTCCTGACATTCATTCATTCAGCAAATGTTTCGCAGGCTCCTCTGTCCTGAGACTCCCACCCCGTCCAGGCCAACCCCTCAGCCCTTTTCAGATCTCCCGCCAGGTCCCTGATTGCTCTTCTAGGCCCTGAAGGGAGGGACCCACCAGCAAATGGGAACTCCACTGGGCAGGGGCTGGACCTGTCTCCCGCCTCCAAGGGAAAGGATGACCTATGCGGGCTCCGCTGCTCATTGGCCCGGCTGGGCCCCGCCACTTCACCAACTATCCAATGAAATGGATGCCCCGTTTCTTGCTCCCGCCTTAGACTCCGCCTCTATGTTGGTCACTAGCATCAGCCGGGTCTAGATACCTGGCCTCAGAACTCAGAGGCTGGGGGAAGACAAGGACCTATGTTGTCCACCCTCCCTTTTCCTCAGGCTGTCTCGCGGGAACTAGAAGGAGGAACCACCGAGAAGTGAGTTCCTCCAAGATTACTAGAGAGAAGTTCAGGCAAGGTATGGGTTGGCAACTCAGTGTGATGACGTACTTCCGGTGCAGCCAGTGTTTTTAACGCGTGAGGGTTTGGTTTGTGGCGACTTGCAAGTGGTGTCGCAAATCTCTGTTCTCTGGAAAGCTGCAGAGGCTTCCCAGAGCCCACGGTGAGCGGGTCTGGCTTGGCCTGAGAAAGACAGGAAGAACCCCAGAGAGACGGGCGCGGCCACTGTTGCTATTGGGGTCCTCGTCCCAACCCCCGGGCTGCACGCGATCGCGTCTAGGGTGGGCGCTGGCAGGCCCGGGACGCTGGCCGCAGGTTCCTGCCCCCTGGTTTCTCGTCCCCAGGACAGCCTGTGGCATATTCAGATTCGAGTACTGACACAAATTCGAGTGTTGACACCGAGGTCCTCAAAAAGATTTAACTGTCTGCGCTCCAGGACACGCTGTCAACAGAGAACACGCCCCTCGGTCGCTCCAGCCCCCTCTTGCCTCAGCTGCGGAGACCCCAGCCCTACCCCTCGGCCTGTGTACAACTTAACGCTCTTTCTCCCTTTTCAGGTGGTCCCAGGAAATCGGTCTGTGATCACTTTATTCACTTTACTCGCCTGGCCTGGTGTAGAACCAATCTGGAAGCTTATTGCCATCTATAGAGCAGTCAAAGTTTTGAGAATACTAAAATGGTTGTTTATTTCCCCCAGGAAGGAAGCTACTTAGTCCACAAATTGGAGAACGTGGTGTCCTGGATTTGGATTGGCCCATATGAATGTTTAATCTAAAAATCTCTTTATGAGTTATACCCATCAAGCACTTAATATTTGTCCAATGTTTAGCATATAATTTCCTGTGTACAGTATGGGAGAGGTGGAAAGATTTGTTGACCTAGTTCTCACATCCTTTATTTCAGTCTGCTCATTACATTCTCTTTTACTCACTGTCATAACCTCATTGTTAAGGTTTGTAATCAATTGGGTTAAACATTTGGTCCCTGCCCTTAGTGAAGTGTGTTGGGTTGTGATTTGTTCCCCACCCAGGCTTGTTACTCATGCTTCAGCTCCATAGCTATGCTTTTCCCCCATAGCAAAGTGGGAGGGAGTGATTTGTGTTTTGTAGGGTGGCCTCTGCTGCTGTTCTACTTCCAGATGATTTGCTTTTCAGATTGTCGACTATACAGATCAGATCTCTTTGCTTCAGTCTGTTTGTTTAATATGTCAATATTATTAAGTATCTGCTTTAAGGGACATTTATTACAAAGATATGATGACAGTATCATGATTGAAGAGAATTAGAGTACACAACTACAAGGGGTACCTATTTACTCAGTGTGAATCACTGCTTTTGTTACCCTTAGGCAGAAACCGGCCGTGAATTTAGCAACATTACTTGTGTGGGTTTGCATTGTGTTTTCTTTTAAAGTCCTTCTGTTCACACTTGTAACTACTCTTTTTCCTTATTGGAATCCCTGTAACTGCCAAGATGTGTCTTTCAGCCTCTCCTGGCAGCTCTGTTTTCCTGACAGTCTCAGCTTCCTCTACCAAACTGGATGGCTTTCTGGATTCACAAGGAGGGTTAATGGAGGAAAGGGCAGTGTACTGACTATATAAGGTCTTTTGTCTGATGCTCTTGCAGTACCCTGAGACTTAACAGCAAACTGCAGATATGGAGTTGAAATGCAAGTTGTTTTTAGGGTCTATGAGTACGTGCACTTTTATGCTGGTTAAATATCTCGGATCTAATTGATGACAGCTAGTTGTACTCAGGTGTTGCTTTTAATGCATAAACCTTGCTGATTCACTCTACTGAATGGCAGAAGGCTTACTTGCTAATAATGAGCTAATAACTGACCTACAAAGGGAGTTGGAACTAGTTTAGAAATGAAATTGCTTTGCTTCCCCTATACTATAATATTTAGAACTTGGAGTATTTGAGACATGTCATGAAGTTGATGGATAGTTTAATATGGTAGTGTTTTTCTCCTCACCACCTATCCCAAACACTGTTACAAAATTGAATGAACATCTTATAATCAATCTGTGTATTTAGAGGAAAAAAATATTAGTAGGGATATATCAAGATATTCCTAATAAACTATTTTCAAGTGGTTTTGACTTTTATTACTTATGTAATAAAACTGTCCTGTCCTAATATCTTAAGTAACATAAGAGGAAAAACACTGAGGTCTTACAGTGTTGGATGGATTTCTCGTACGCAACTCATTCCTATCTGTACTGTGTGGATTCTAGGGATCTTAACTGGAGCAACAGCTTTCTTTTCAGCCCATAACATTCTATGCACTGGTTTCCTTTTCTGTCCTCTTTCCTGTGGTGTCTTCTCTGGATTACTGAAAATTGTAGTTTTATCAGTCCACCTTCTCTGTTTGCTGAGTGATCTCAGCAAAAAGTGATCTGTTTGCTAATCCAGTCAGCTGAATACTGTACATAGGAAGTTGTATGCTAATTATATTCTTGGGATGATTTCTGTTTCCTTTCTGCATCCCCCTATATGCCTGCTATCCCACCTCTGTGAGATGAGAATTGCCGCTGATACAAGGCAATAACTGATGAGTAGTAGTAGTTCATGTAGCCTCAAAATAGGAGGGATCAGATGTTGTGTGCAGGAGTTATGGTCAGTAGAGTGATTGTCACTAATGCTTCCATCTTTACTCTCAGCTCCTGAGACTTTTACCTTTCCCCAAGACGGGAATAAAAGAGGTCAGATGATGACAGCAGTGTCCTTAGCAGCCAGGCCCCAGGTGAGCTGGGTTTCCTCTGCCTCTGCACCTATGCATGTGTGCATATACATATATATTTATATATGCATATATAAAGGTGTATACATTTGTATAAATTATATATATGCATATATAAAATATTTATAACATACTTTTATATATGCATATATAAAAATATATAAATTTACTTTCTCAGTGAGGTATAACTTATTTACAACACAAATCTGAACTGTATAGCTCACTCTTGAGACATATATACACCTGTGTGACCATCACTTATATTAAGACATAGAACATTATCAGTACTTTGAAAGGCTCCCTCATTCGCCATCCCAAGCAGTCCACCTGAAAGGTGACCATTATTCTGAGCTCTATCACCACAGATTAGTTTTATTTGTTCTTGAACTTCGTATAAATGGAATCATTCGACATGTACTCTTTTGTTTCTGCCTTCTTTGCTCAACATTATGTCTATGAACTTCACCTGTGTTATTGCACATGGCAGTAGTTTGTTCTTTTTCATTGCTGAATAGTTTTCCATTATATGATTAGACCACATATTACTCAGTCTGCTGTAGATGGACATTTTGATTGTTTCCAGTTTTTCACTACTATGAATAAGAATGTGCGAACATTCTTGTATATGCCTTTCGGTGGACACGTACTCATTTCTCTTGGGTATATCTTCAGGAGTCAGATAGCTAGGTCATAGAGTATACATTTGGTTAGTTTTAGTAGATGCTGCCCAACAATTTTCCAACCATTGGAAATGGTTGTTCCAGCTTATACTTTTACCAACAGTATGTGAGACTTTCAGGTGCTCCACATCCTTGCCGACACTTGTTGCCATTCATTCTTGATATCTCATTGGGGTTTTTAAATTTCCTTTTCCGCGATAAGCAGTGATGTGGAGCAGCATTTCATAAGTTTATTGGCTACATGGATATTCTCTCATGCGAAGTCCCATTCAGATAGATTTTCCATTTTTTATTACATTGTGTGTTGTTTTTTCTCCAGGTTGTAGTTCTTTATTATGGATATGAGTCCTTTGTCAGATATATATATGTATTATGAAATATCTTCTCCCAGTGGCTTGCTTTTTCACTCTCTTAATGATGTCCTTTGATAAACAGATTTTTCCTAGCCTATTCCAAGTAAGCAGTATTTTCCTATGCCTCTCTAACCTCACTACCTCTGCATGGGGGTGGGGAATCATTAACAAATTTGAGAGCTTTGTGCCTGGAGTAGTTAGTGGGCAAGGAGCCAAGAATGAGGGAAGAACTGGGATGAAAGCAGAATTGGGAAATGGCAGTAATATGAGCAGCCCAAATATTCACCCAAATGTATTACGAAGTGGGGAGGGGCTTAGAGCCAAGGTGGCAGCCGTATCCAGTTGTGTGTTAGTTCTCTTTTATTTATGAACATTCATGCTTAGGCCCAAGCCCAGCTCCTATGTAGTAGTCTTTTTGGAGGTCACGTATGTTTGGAAGCTCATAGTAGACATGTATTTGGTTCTAACTGGGAAAGTATGCTGAACTCTGGCTGGCTGTTTGCAGCTTCTTCCTCCACACCTTCCACATTTCATACAAGAACCCCTCAGGCACATGAGGGACCCAATACTAAATATGTATCCTTGTAGGTGCCCTTCCCAGCCTCTCATTGACAGTTTTGACCATCATCAAAGTCCTGAGGCCTGGGAGAGCAGGAACCTATTGTTTCAGGCATCAGTGACTTTTGAGGACGTGGCTGTGTACTTCACTGAGAAGGAACGGGCCAGCCTGGTGCCTGCTCAGAGGGCCCTGTACAGGGATGTGATGCTGGAGAACTGTGGGGCTGTGGCCTTCCTAGGTAAGGCCTCTCTGCTGCTGGTCTCTGCCTGGGCCTTCAGAGGTTAAAGGGCTCTCTTATAGCTATTAGCTGGCCCAAATCGCAATGTCAAGAGTTGCCAGGTATGGAGAGCCCTGGAGTCTACCTCCTGACCTCCAAGAAGGTTTTCCTTCTTTTTCCATCATAAAAGCTGCCCTCCTTCCCTACCTGCCTTAGAGGTGATTCTCTGGGTACAGCAGGGCTTGAGCTGTATCTTTGTACCTTCACCCTACTATTGAACCTCCAGATTATCTAGAGAGAGCTCAGCCCCTTAGGCTCCCTGTGGGAGTTGCTCCCAGGAGCCGTGTGTCTGTTTCCCCCCAGGGGGAATCCTCTAACAAAGAAGGTAAGAAATTCTATTTCCCTTTAAATAGAAATTTGCCTCCCAGAGTGTTTCAGCCTTCCTTGGGAGCACTATCCTGAGGCTTCTTCCCAGGACCCCTCCCTATACCTCTTTAGGGTATCTCTTGCTCAGTCCACCCAGGAATTACTCTCCTCACTTCTGACTCATCTTGTAGCCACAGGCTGAGATTGACCCCTGACTCTGCTCATTCTTGTGTTGTGTATTCTTCCCTTCAAGCAGCATCACCCACTTCCAAACCAGCTCTGATCTGTCATCTGGAACAAGGGAAAGAGCCCTGTTTTACCCAGCCACAGGGAGCCCTAAGCAGGAGGAGCAGGAGAACAGACCGTACAGGTGAGTTAAGCAAGGGGTGCCCTTTCCAGCTTTGTCTCTTCCTTTGCTTTTATTTCATTACAATGAGAGATGTGTGCTCTCTGTGCCCAGCATCATGGAGTGCGTTGGGATCCTTGATCACACTCTCTGATTGGTCTGTTATTGTTTCTCAGCCCTTCAAACTGTAGTACACAGCACCCTGCTTCAGTGTCTCACCTACTGGGATGCTTTTATCCCTGGGGATATGTGGAAAAATTTTTCTAAATACTTCACTGGTTATGTGTGATCACCTTTTTCTAGTTTCCCCTTTGACAAAATTGATGAACTCAGTGCACCATTATTTTGTCCACTAACCAACAGAACAAATAGAAAAGTTTATTTTTGCTTTTCATGATAATTAATATATTAAAAATTTGAAATAATTTTTTATATTGAAATACTTTAAGGTAGCTCACAGATATGATTTTCCTCCCCTTTAGGATACATCTCAACAATAAGAAGATTCGCCTACTTAGCTAAAATAATATCACATGAAATAAAATTAAAAATTCCTCAAAATCATCTGTTTTGGGAAGACAGGAGAAAGGCTTAATTTTTTATCTTTTTTTTTTGAGGAAGATTGGCCCTGAGCTAACATCTGATGCCAATCTTCTTCGTTTTTTTTTTTTTGTTTTTTTTTTTGCTGAGGAAGATTGGCCCTGAGCTAGCATCCGTGGCCATCTTCCTCTTCTTTATATGGGACACTGCCACAGCATGGCTTGACAAGCGGTGCATCAGTGCACACCCAGCATCCGAACCTGCGAGCCCAGGGCCGCTGAAGCGGAGCGTGTGCACTTGACCGCTTGTGCCACTGGGCCAGCCCCTAATTCTTTATCTTTAAATACCAGTTTTCAAAGTGAGGATTTGATTTAAGAGCCATCTTAAATGATGTTAAATACTCATTTTCTTTTTCTATAGACTCATGGATTTCCTTAAATTTAATGTTTTTCAATTCATTAAAATTACTCATTGTGATTCATTTACAAAGCTGGCTCACATGTCCTTTTTTTAAACAGCTTTATTGAGGTATAATTCACAAACTATACAATTCACTCACTTAAAGTGTACAGTTCAGTGGTATTTAATATATTCACAGAGTTGTGCAAGCGTTACCACAATCTACTTTTAGAATGTTTTTGTCACCCAAAAAGGAAACCCCATATCCATTAGCAGTCCATTAGCAGTCACTCTTCATCCCTCTTTCCCCCACACCATCAGTTTTAGGCAAACACTTATTTACTTTCTGTTTCTGTAGATTTGCCTATTGTGGATATTTGGTATTAATGGACTCATACAATATATGGTCTTTTGCAGCTACCTTTCACTTAACATAATGTTTTCAAGGTTCATCCCTTTTATAACGTATGTCAGTACTCATTCCTTCTTGTGTATGCGTAATATCCATTGGATGCATAATATCACATTATCCATTCATCAGTTGATGGACATTTGGGTTGTTTCCGCTGTTTGGGCATTATGAATAAAGCTGCTGTGAACATTGGTGTACAAGTTTTAATGCAGACATATGTTTTCATTTCTCGTGGGTACAAACTCGAGATATATACTTGCTGGGTCATATGGTAATTCTTTGTTTAACATTTTGAGGAATGCTAAAATTTTTTCCAAAGTGTCTAAACCATTTTACTATCCTGCACAGCAGTGTATGAGGGTTTCAAATTCTCCACCTCCTCATCAACACTTATTGTTGTCTATTTTTTTGATTATAGCCATCCTAGGGAGTATGAAGCGGTATCTCGTTGTGGTTTTGATTTGCATTTCCCTAATGACTAGTGATGTTGAACATGTTTTCATGTGTTATTAGCCATGTGTATCTTCTTTGGAGAAATGTCTGTCCAAATCCTTTGTACATTTTTAAATTGGGTTATTCATCCTTTTATTTTTGAGTTGTAAGTGTTCTTACGTATTGTGGCTACTAAATCCTTATCAGATACATGATTTGCAAAAATTCTGTGGATTGTCTTTTCTAAAATGTCCTTTGAAGCACACAAATTTTTAATTTTGATGAAGTTCCTTAGGATTTTCTATATATCATGTCATCTACAGATAGAAATAGTGTTACTTCTTCCTTTCAATTTGAATGCCTTTTATTTCTTTTTCTTGCCTAATTACCCTGGTTAGAACTTCCAGGACAATGTTATATAAAAGTTGCCAGAGTGGATATCCTTGTCTTATTCCTGATCTTAGGGGGAAAACATTCAGTCTTTCACCATTAAGTATGATGTTAGCTGTGTTTTTTTTCATAAATGCTCTTCATCCTGTTGTGGAAGTTCCCTTTGTTCCTAATTTGTTGAGGGTTTCTATCACTAAAGGGTGTTAGAGTTTGTGAAATGATTTTTTGTTACTATTAAGGTCATAATGTGATTTTTGTCCCTTATTCTATTAATATGATATATTACATTGATTGATTTTTGTGTGATGAACCACCCTTGCATTCCTTGGATAAATCACAGTAGGTGATGATGTACAGTCCTTTTTATATGTTGCTAGATTCAGTTTGATAGTTCTTTTTTTTTTTTTTTGAGGGTTTTGCATTTATATTCATAAGAAAATTGGTCTGTAGTTTCTTATGTCTTTGTCTGGTTTTGTTTCAGGGTAATAGTTGGCCTCATTGAATAAGTTGGGAAGTATTCCTTCCTCTTGCATTTTTGAAAAAGATTGTGAATGACTAGTGTTAAATCTTAAATGTTCAGTAGATTCACAGTGAAGCCATCAGGGCCTGGGCTTTTGTTTGTGGAAAGTTTTAAAATTATTAATTCAATCTCCTGTTATAGGTCTATTGTGATTTTCTAGTCAGCTGGGGTAGTTTACGTCTTTCTAGGAATCAGTCCATTTCATCTAAATTATCAAATTTGTTGGCATACGATTATTCATATTATTTTCTTACAATTTTTTTTTCTGTTGTGATGTTCCCACTTTAATTTCTGATTTTAGTAATTTGAGTCTTCTCTCTTTTTCTCTTGGTCAGTCTAGTAAAGCTTTCTCAATATTGTTGATGATTTCAAAGAACCAACTCTTGATTTCATTTATTTTCTTTACTGCTTTCCCATTTTCTATTTCATTTCTTTCCTCTCTAATCTTTATTTTATCCTTCTCTCCTCCTGCTTTGGGTTTAGTTTCTCTTGTAAGTAGTTTGCTCTTATTAAGAAAAAGTAGTTTTCTACTTTCTTAAGGTGGAAGGTTAGGTTATTGATTTGAGATTTCTCTTTTTTTTTAATATAGGCATTTACAGTTGTAAATTTCCCTCTAAGCACTGCTTTAGCTGCTTCCCATAAGTTTTGGTATGCTGTGTCTTCAGTTTCATTCACCTCACATTTTTAATATCACTTATGATTTCTTCTTTGATCCATTTATTTTACTGAGGCTTGCTTTATAACCTAGCATTATGGTCTGTCCTGAGAATGTTCCATGTGTGTTTGAGAAGAATGTGTGTTCTGTTGTTGTTGGGTGGAGTGTTCTATAGATATCTGTTAAGTTTATAATGTTTTTCAAGTCTTCTGTTTCTTTTGATCTTCTCCCTACTTCTGTCATTGAAAGTGGAGTATTGAAGTTTCTATCTATTATCGTTGTCTCCCTTTAATTCTGGTGGTATTTGCTTCATGTATTTTGATGCTCTTTTTTAAGGTACGTATATGTTTATAATTGTTATCTCTTCCTGATGGATTGACCTTTCTATCATTATAGAATATTCCTTTACTTCTAGTAACATATTTTGTTTTAAAGTCTGTTTTGTCTGACATTAGTATAGCCACTCCAGCTCTTTTATACTTACTGCTTTCGTGGTATAAATTTTTCTATCTTTTTACCTTTAACCTGTTTATGTCTTTGAATCTAAAGTTAGTGTCTCCTATAGATAGCATATAGTTGGATCTTGGTGTTTTTTTTTTTTTTTGTGAGGAAGATCAGCCCTGAGCTAACATCCATGCCAATCCTCCTCTTTTTGCTGAGGAAGACTGGCCCTGAGCTAACATCCATGCCCATCTTCCTCCACTTTCTGTGGGACGCTGCCACAGCATGGCCTGACAAGCGGTGCGTCGGTGCGCCCCCAGCATCTGAACCCGGGCCGCCAGCAGTAGAGCGCGTGCACTTAACTGCTACACCATGGGGCTGGCCCCTGGATCTTGTTTTTATATCCAGTCTTACAGTCTTTGCTTTTTGATTGAGTCATTTAATCCATTCACATTTACTGTTATTGGTATGCTTGGATTTACGTCTGCTATTTTGGTTTTTGTTCTCTTTATGTCCTATGTCTTTTTTGTTCCTCTGTACTTACTTTACTTATTTCTGTTTCATTAAGTGAATATTTTCTAGTATGACATCTTAATTCCTTTCATGGTTTTTTAAACTATTGTTTGAGTTTTTTTCCTTGTGGATTGCTCTAAGGTTTGCAATATACATCTTAGTTTATCAGAATCTACTTCAAATTTATACTAACTTAATTCTAGTAAGATACAAACTTTACTCATATATTCTCTATTCCCCTCTCTTCCTTTTTTGTGCTATTATTATTATGTCTATATATGTTACAAACACAGTAATACATTCTTAAATTACTATTTTATATCTTCTCAAGGAGCTGAGAGAGCAAGTATATATTTATAGAATTTGTTATATTAACCTTCTTATTTATTATTTTTGGTTCTTTTCATTTTTTCTTGTGGATTTGAGTTACCTTCAGGTGTCGTTTCCTTACTTCGATACAGTCTTGTTTCCATCCACCTCCTTTGTGCTGTTGTTGTCAAATATATTACATTTCTGTATGTTATAGTTGTATACACATTGTTTTATATAATTCCTTTTTGAATATGTTATGTCTTTTTGACATGATTCCATTTGGTTTTCAAAACTTTCTTGCTTTCTGATATGAAAATATAACCTTGGCCAACCTTATTGATAAATATTTCTAAAAATCATTTTTATTTTCGAAAACATGGATATATAGAGAAATATGGAAAGTTGTCATGAATTTATACAGTGAAACTGAGACCTTGAAGAAAGGTGATATTTTTGGTGGGCTGTTGGAGGCCTTGCCTCCTCCCCTCTCCTCTTCTGGCTTCTCCTCAACATTGCATGCTTCAGGAGAAAAGCTCAAGAAGCACAGCTCTGTTCAGCACTGCATCTCAAAGGCAGAGTGCTTAGGAGCACAGACCTGGGAGCCAGAGTGCTGGTTATTAGCTATGTGACTTTGTTTCAGTTTCTCCTTTATAAAATGGGGACAGTATCTCCCTCATCTGTCAAGTAAGTAAGTAATCCATGTATTTGGCACATAGTACATCCTCAGTAATTACTAGTTATTGCCATTGCTCATGTTAATTCCCAGCCTGTTGTGTCTGCTTTACTTCTTCTCATCCTCTATCTCCTTGGTTTGTTCTTAGCCCCTGATAGGGTCTCCATTTTCCAGACCTGCTGATGCTTTTCAGCTAGAGCAAGGGGAAGAGGCTTGGGGCTTGGATCTTAAGGGTGGTTTGTCTAGAGATGCTGTGAGAGGCATCCGTGGTGGTGAGTGCTGGGATACTAGTCACTCACCTCCTTCTACTACATCTAGTCTTTGTTGTGAGAGAACTTCTGTTATCATATTTCTGACACTTTTCACAGGAGAAAGGACCCCATAGGAAGTCACAGATTGATTATTAATTCAGTAGGATTATGCCTCATTTTCCCTTTATGTAAATTGTCCCTGGTGAAGTAAATCTGAGTCTGTTCTCCTTTTTAAATGGTGGTATGTATAAGTCTCACCTGAGACCTTGTTAAAGTGCTTAACAAGGGCTTAATTCTATCCAGTCTGTAGCCCAGGAATCTGCATGTTTAACAGCATTCCAGGTGATTCTGATGCAGATGACGTAACGACCACAGTTTTGGAAATACCAACCTGTAGCCAGGCTGGCTTGGCAAAGACTTGGTTACATTGTAATTCCTGGGTTAAGTTATTTTGGGTGGTGGGTTAGATCTATGTTCTCCTAATCCAATACTATGTTCTCTAACTATTTTATGTATATTACTTATATTTCCCCAATAAACTACAAGCTTCCTGATAGCAGGAATAATCTCATACTTTTCTCATTTATGCCATAACATTTTATACAAAGTTACTTGATATTTTTTGTTTTTTCACTTGAATGATTAATAAGATTCTCTCCTAACTTTATTCCTCCCAATTCTTTCTCCATTCCTTCCCTGCCCTATCTAAACCCTCCATTTCACTTTCCCATCACTTTCTGTTCTCAGGGTTTTTACACTATCACTCATTCCTTTAGTACCCACAGCCTTCCCTTATTGAGTATTCCTGTCCTCTCAGCTACCTTTTCATCTTGAACTCTTTTTGGATCTGTAAACCCTGATAAAATTTTCTCTTCCCTCTTAGGATTCAGGACTTTTCCTTGCCTTGTCTCATTCCCTACGTGCTCTACAGGCATTTTATAAACATGTAAAAGCCATTTACTAATAGGATGTGTTAATCATACTTGATGATTAATTCAGGCAATGATTAATGATTAATTACAGCCTGTAGGCAAAATCTGGCCTACCACCTGTCTTTTTTTGTATGGCCCATGAGATAAGAATGATTGAAGTTTTTTATTGGGTGAAAGAAGTCAAATGAAGAATACTATCTTGTAACACATGAAAATTATATGAAATTCAAATTTCAGTGTCTATAAATAAAGTTTTATGGGAATTCAATCATGTTCATTCATTTACATATTGTGCTACTTTCACATTACAACAGTAGAGTTACAGTAGAGACCATATGGCCTGAAGACCCTTAAGTATAGCCCTTTACAGACAAAGTTTGCTACCCCCTGATCCAGTTCCCTCTAGCATTGCTGAGAGGTGGTTTTTTCATGTATTTCTTCTCTTGTGAGGTGGAAAAACCTGGGCTGAGAATGAGCATTTGACTTCAAAGCAAATAATTTCTGATAAACACAAATCCTGTGGCATGGGATCAGGTGAACATCAGAGAGGGGGACCTGACTTTCAAGATACCTGCATGTCAGAGGGCAAGTTAGATAGGCGTAGAGGAAATTTCACAAGGGATAGAATGAATAAAAATGAGAGACATTCTGTGAAGGAGATAGTTAATAATGAGAAACTTGCTATAGCAAATAAAAAGCATCCAAAAAAGAAATCAGAAAAAATTGTTAGTGTGTGTTCTCAGCGTGAAAAACATCTGCAAGTTCCAGGTATCCAGATTTTCTGTAACTCTGATGTGTGGGACAAACATTACAGTTGTAATCGTAATTCAGACTTTTTTCAGCATCAGAAAAACCCCATTGGAGAAAAGGCATATCAATGTAAGGAGTGTGTCAGAGTCTTTAGCCTTAGCTCCACTTTTGTTCAGCACCAAAGTATTCAAGGTGGAAAGCCACCCTATGCGTGCAAGGAGTGTGGCAAGGCATTCAGGAGCAACTCCCAGTACACAGCACACCTGCGAATTCACACTGGAGAGAAGCCCTATCAGTGTAAGGAGTGTGGTAAAGCCTTTAGGTTCAACTCTAGTTTTATACATCACCGAAGGATCCACAGTGGGGAGCGACCCTATGCATGCAAAGAGTGTGGCAAGGCTTTTAGGTGCAGCTCCCACTGCACTAAACACCAACGAATCCACACTGGGGAGAGGCTCCACGAGTGTAAGGAGTGTGGCAAAACCTTTGTTTTCAAATCCACACTGTTTCATTATCAGAGAGTGCATACTGGGGAGAAACCATTTAAATGCAAGGACTGTGGTAAGGCCTTTGGTGAGAAAAATACTTTTATTCAGCATCAGAGAATTCATACTGGTGAGAAACCATATATATGTAAGGAGTGTGGCAAAGCTTTTCATGTGAACTCACAGCTCATTCACCACCAATTGCTACACACTGGAGAGAGACCCTACCAATGTAAAGAGTGTGGGAAAAGCTTCACCTGGAACTCAAACCTTGTCCAGCATCGGAAAATTCACTCTGGGGAGAAAGCCTATCAATGTGAGGAATGTGGGACGGCCTTCAGGCAGAAAGGTAATTTAAATCGACATCAGCAAATCCACCCTTGCAAGACAGATTTCAAAGAAAGTTCAGGATTGGAGCAACACCAGAGATTCCATGATGGAGAAGGAGACTGTAAATGTGAGGATTGTGGGAAAATCTTTATTCAGAATTCAAATTTTATTTGCCATCGGAATATTCACTCAGGAGACAAACTTTTAAATGAAATTGTTGGTTCATGTGTCCCCCGAGTGCAGCTTGTTCGGCCCTCCCCTTCTTGGCCTGGCCACACCAATCCAGCCCTACGTCTCACCTCTCCCCAGAGGGCTCCCTCTGCTCCAGCCAGTGCTTTCTCCCCACGCTCCACATCATCCACTCTCTCACTTCCTACCTCACAGCCCTTGCTCTTTTTGCTTCCTCACATGCCCTCCCCTCTTCTCTCTCTCTTTCTTTGATCTTTCCTGGACTTAAATAGGCCTTCTGAAGTTTGTAACTTTGATACTGCCTTTTGCACTGTCTTACATACACCTTTCTCCACCTTGAATTATTACCTTTTCTAGATGGCCACATTATACTTGCTACTCAGTTATATGCTGGGGTTTTTTCCCCCATGTAGTGGACTCAGATTTTTATGTTTAACTGTTGCAGCCAAGTTGTCACTTCTCAAGGACAGGAATCACATGACTAGATGAAGAAAGGTGAGGAAGTTGGGAAGTATTTCCACTGTAAATGAATGTATGGCATGACCATTTAAGTGTTGATTATAGGAATGGTAGAAATGAGCAATTTCACTCAGTTCAGGAAGGAAGAGATTTAAATAGAAACTGAAGATATTGCTGTAAGAATGGACCTTATAGGAGGCTGTAAGCTAGTAGTAAATGAGAACTGGTCCTTGGTTGTACTTCTTCAAGAGGTGATTTCATTAGGACTGCCCCATACAACTGAATACTAGCCACTGGGTTCATCTGACATTTTGCAGGAGACTAATGTATTAAACAAAAAGTCAATTTGTTATTTCTCCATATGGTACATCTTTTCTGGGTTCAAAGGATTATTTGCTATCTAGTTTCCATCTGTCTCTCTCTCCCTCCCTCCATAACCAGGTAGAGTAGCTTCATTATGAAAACGTATAAGGCTTTATAGGTTGGGTGCTTCTACCTGATATTTTCAGGAAATAGGGTCATAGATTACCTCCCTTTTCCTTGTTCCCCCTGGTTTGTATCTTGCAAATGTTACCTTCTTTTGTTGTAACCAAAGGCTATGCTTGGTTGGAAGCTGTGGTTTAGAAAAATACAAACGAGGGCCGGCCCCGTGGCTTAGCGGTTAAGTGCGCGAGCTCCGCTGCTGGCGACCGGGGTTCGGATCCTGGGCGCGCACCAACGCACCGCTTCTCCAGCCATGCTGAGGCCGCGTCCCACATACAGCAACTAGAAGGATGTGCAACTATGACATACAACTATCTACTGGGGATTTGGGGAAAAAGAAAGAAAGAAAATTATAAAAAAAAAAAAAAAAGAAAAATACAAATGAGCCAGACGTTGATGACCTTGAGCCAGGATAGTCACAACCCATTTAAAGACCATTTTATCCCAGGGTAGAGAGTGCGAACTCAGAAGAAGATCCTGTAGCTGAAAGCAGCATTGTCACTTAGAGAGTGGCCTAGAGGAGAGAAATTGAGCTAAGAAAAGGAAGAGCCTCGGGCTGGCCCTGTGGCTTAGTGGTTAAGTGCGTGCACTCCGCTGCTGGCAGCCCGGGTTTGGATCCCAGGCACGCACCAACGCACCACTTCTCCAGCCATGCTGAGGCCATGTGCCACATACAGCAACTAGAAGGATGTGCAGCTATGACATACAACTATCTACTGGGGCTTTGGGCGGAAAAAATAAATAAATCTTTAAAAAAAAAAAGGTTACTCTAGAAAAGAAAGAGCCTCAGTTAATGGAGTCCTCAGGTTTCTTTAAACAGTGAAGAGGTTTGGGGACCACAGGATAGGCAGCATTAATCCAGAGAGCCATCCCTGGAGGGCCAGCTTGCTGCCTGGAGTGTGGTGCTTGTGGCCTGAGTGTATTATCTGGTAACTACATTGCAAATGATAGATGATCAGTAATTTAATCCATGCACTGTTCCTGGATTTCTGATGAGAAGAGAGCTTATTCTTGAGATCTGGATATTGAGAGGGAAATAACCAGGCCAAGGAGGAGATAAAGGAGGCTGAGCTGTCACCTTAACCAGCCCTGTATGTTAAGCTAGGACCATCTGGATTATGTTAATCTCATGTATTTGTAATTGCTGGCCTGCATGGAATTCCTTGTGTCTGGGGCATATTGGGCCATTTGAACATGCTAGGGAACTGAAAATGTTTAGCACGATGCTGGGGGTTATCTTGAGAGTTAATGTTGGAGAAGTGAACAATATGTAGATCACTGAGAAACTGGTATGCCGTGTGAAGGAGTTTGAACTTCATTTTTTTTTTTTGAGGAAGATCAGCCCTGAGCTAACATCCGTGCTAATCCACCTCTTTTTGCTGAGGAAGACCAGCTCTGAGCTAACATCTATTGCCAATCCTCCTCCTTTTTCTTCCCCAAAGCCCCAGTAGATAGTTGTATGTCACAGTTGCACATCCTGCTAGTTGCTGTATGTGGGACGCGGCCTCAGCATGGCCGGAGAAGCGGTGCGTCAGTGCGCGCCCGGGATCCGAACCCGGGCCACCAGCAGCGGAGCACGCGCACTTAACCGCTAAGCCACGGGGCCGGCCCTGAACTTCATTCTTGACAGGCGAAGCAAGGTTGTTCACAGTATGGGAAGAGTTAAGGGTGGGTGAAATAGGAGCCAGGGGAATTAGATAGATCAGCGGTTCCTAAGGGGGGGTCTGTGGACCACTGCAGGTCCATGACATTTCCACCAGTCTGTGAAATGAGGAAAACGTAATGGAAATCTGTATGTATAGGTGGAGCTGTGTGTGTTCACAAGTGATGGCCCACAGCTCCTGGAGCTTACACTGAAGCTGTCTCTCCTTTTTTTGGCATTAAAATGGTCTTTTATGAAATAATCATGAGGATTGTAGACTTTTGTTGTAGTTCTGCATTGTTTTTTAATATTCTTTATTGAAAAATAGAAAGATGGCCTGCTATATTTCTGCCCTTTTCCCTGGCCATTGGTGTTTTTGTGAAAACAGAAAGACAGCTAACCAATATGATAAGCTTTTCTGAATCAGCTCTGGAAAATGGAGTTAAGAGGTTAAACCAGTGCTTCTCAGGCTACCTGTGGTAAAGGATTAGTCCCCCACTCCCTTACCATCTTTCCTTGACAAATAAATGCCTCTATAGCACATGACTAATACACAGCTCATGCTATATGCGATTCATCTCATGAGTTTAAAACTTGTATAAACCCCATATGAGATGAGTTTACTGATCACATGCTTGGATGTCTTGGCAATGTCAAATTGCTATATACATTTTAAAACATTTATTCTCAACTTCTGCCCTTCTGGGCCTGTAAGAAACAGTTAACAGGTGGCCACCAGTCCACAAACTGCCGTTTGAGTTATGGGGCATTAGACTGTATCTTTATGGATCGAATCAGGAGCCTGCCGGGTTAGTGAGTTGAGCAATTGAGGAGAATTGGTCAGCCCTGTGGTCAGAGTACCTTAGGGCAAAAGGCACTGCTTTTCCTGGGATCTTGGGGGGCTAAAGGGGACTCCATTAGACCCTGGAGAGAGAAGTAGTGTGATTGGACAAGAGCGTCAGGAGTTCGGAGCTGGGCTGTACTGTAAAATTTTCATAGGGATGACTGGAACCATCAAGAACTCTTCTTGCATAGGACCTGTGCTGATTGAGATTGTGTATTTGTTTTATTTCAAGCGTGTAATTTGTATCTCCTAGATTGTTACACTGCAGTAAAGAAATGCTCTTAAATGAACTCTGAATGTGTTATGAAGGGGGGACTGTGAAGAAGGGCTACTTTAGAGGGTAAGTCAAGGCAGAGGAAGCTGGAATCAGGCTTAGAAACCTACAGTTTGGGAGCTCCCCTGGAGTGTCCTCTTTGGTTATGTGGTTGAAATCGGTGATATCCATTTGTGATGGTATCAACAACTCTGCCTGCCATTGGCAGCCTTGAGTATCCTTGTGGGATGTAGTATATAAGAGGCAAAGGGGAGGTGGGAGGGCAGGTGTAGAGAATGCTCAGAACAATTGCTGGCATGTCCTACCTTTTCCTTACTGAGACCCATAAGATGTTTTGATGCCGCCCTTGTGTGACCAGTGGGCCTTTTATGGAGAATAAGGCTGTCTGAGAAGTCTTCTTCTCAACGATAATAGAAATAACAATAGTTACTCTACCATTTATTGAGCACTTACCCTGAACCAGGTACTATGTTGTGGACTTTACATGCTTTATCTCAATCCTGTAATAGCTCTGTGAGGTAAAGGGGTTATAATTGTCACCATTTTACAGATGAATACATTGGGGTTTATTGAGAAGTCAGAAATCAAACTCAGAGTGTGTGACTCCAGGACCCACACTTGTGATCATGGTTGCCCCACTTCCTTTATTCATCTACCCCTATTGGCACTTTGTGCCCCAAGCTAGTATCTTTGAGGTCAGGGATCCCAAGCTTCTCTCTCTTGCCTACTCCTGGCCGTATACCACTGAAAGACCTCCCATGATCCGGCTCCCACATAGGGAGCTTGTGAAAGGGCCAGTCACAGCCTCTGTCCGTCTACCTTCCCACACTCAGGACTGGGAGCAGCTGGAGATCTTGCTCAAGGGCCTTTCTAGTGAGGAGTCAGACACTTACAGAAAATAATGGGAGTAAGAGAGAGAGGTGTTGGGGAAAGCAACTGCAGCCTTGATGGCAGCCTGGGAATGGGGAAGAAGGTTAGAGAGAACCATGTTGGTTGGAAACCGATGGTACATAAATGAATGTATTTGTGAGGATCTGATTGTGTATGTAGCAGAGCCAACTGTTGAGATAGGCAAATGTGCCAAGGAGTCAGTAGTCACTCGGACTTGCTAAAAATTGAATTAATTTTAAGCAATACACTTAGATCTCAGTTTCATTTGCTTATGAGACTGGTCTTATGTAGCCTACATAATTCAAAGTTTGTTTATGTATTATGAATGTTATCATAGGACAATGAAAAAGTTATCACACTGCTGTACAAATAAATTATAACTATTTTAAGTAAAATTTTAAGAAAAATGTACCTCTCAATTCCACTACCCCAGTAGATGCCCATTTTTATTTATTTGGGTTCATTGTTAACCCTTGTCCATATGTATATATAATTGAACCATACAGATAAAATGTTGTGCTTTGCCTTTCTTCCATTATTATTGTCTTAAGCATTTACCCTCTTCCCCAGTTCTGTATAGTCTACATAACTACTGTTTGTTGTTGAATGGATGTACCCTTCTTTATTCCCCTCACTAAGTTGTGAATTTTTGTAGAGTAGACACTATGTCTTAATCATTTTTTTCCCCTTTAGCATCCATCCAGGAGGTGGTAGTTCATTATTATTGAAGTTCATTGATGGGAATTAGGAAATTTCTACTTTTGAGCTGTTGTAAATGATGTTACTGTCAACAATGCCATGAATATAGTATTTTTCCCCTTCTTTTGAATGATTTCCTTGGAATAAATTCCCAGGATTGAGATTAACCAAACCCAAAGGTATAATCATTTTTATCTTTTAAAAATATGCTGCCATATTGCCTTCTTAAAAGATGGTACTGATTTACTCTGCTACCAGAAATGTATGGATACAGTACTTGATTTCAATCTTATCAGCAGTAGGTATAATTTTAAAAATATTTTAAATGTAATTGATATAAAATGCTACTTGTTTGTTTTTAATTTATATTTCTTTACTATAACTAACTATACT